TATCTATCTCACTGATTACCAACATATCAATTTCTCATAACTAGAGCACTGACCTAACAGGTCACTAACATATCAATCCCTACGGATCATAAAAGCATAACATATTGGTCTTTCCTGATTCCGATCTAACAGATCATATCCACATGTAGCATACCATAACGATAACAACTAAAAGGGTCGGCCTTGATGCCTTAGACCCTATCGATATAGTGAGGATAAGTCACCTTGCAGATGCCGACTCGGTAGATAAACTTCAACCCTCGGATCACTTGACACAGGCTCCACCACCTATTACCATAGTATAATATACTCATAAGTCCTTAACCTTATAAGGTATTCCATAACCCACTAGTCAACCCCTGGTCAAAGTCAAAGTCCTCAGTCAAGGTCAACAGTCCATGTTGACCTTAAACTCGCCGAGTACCCTCGGCTACTCGCCGAGTTCCTTGAAGCACTTTCCAACTCGCTGAGTCATCGAGGTGACTCGTCGAGTTCCTCCGATTCTCGATCAAACTTTAAGGCCACCCGTCGAGTTTCCTTCTTGCAACTCGACGGATACACACGCATACATATCCTGGAGAAAACTCATCCGACTCGCCGAGTTGTTCATACAACTCGCCGAGTCTATGGCAATCTTCATCGGACTTGTCGAGTTGCTCATACAACTCACCGAGTCTATGGAAATCTTCATACGACTTGCCGAGTCAACCTTGCGACTCGCCGAGTTCCTTCAGCCCTTAAGCCATACAGACTCATTTAAGCCATGCAATGGCTCCAAATTACAGATCCAAGCTTCTAGAGCATGCTTTTCACGTAAAGTTGCAAACTTTACGTGTATGCATGGCTAAAAAGGCTCTTAATGGCAATTCTAAGCTCTTAATGGGGTTTCATGCACAAGGAGGGTCTCAATCACCCCCAAACCCGCAACTTTATGACTCTAGGACTTAGGAAGGGTCCAGATCTATAGTTACAACTTCAGATCTAGCCCATAGCTCCCTATATCAACTCAAAATCCATAAAACCCTAAAACTCATCCAAAAGAAAAGAGATCTAGAAGGAAAGGGAAGTAAAGATTGCAACTTGATACCTCCAAAAGATGCTAGCTGAGGTAAGGTCTGCTTCCCACACCTTCCTTGCTTCAACTCCTTTGCTCTTCAAGCTTTTCCCTCCTAGCCAACCTTCTTTCCAAGGCTTAAAATCACACCAAGAAGAGTACCACACGAATTAGGGTTTTCACTGAGCTCTCAAAGACTGTAAAGAGGCCAAAGGAGGCTGAGGCTCCTTTAAATAGGGTGCAAAACCCCGGGATTTAGGGTTTCCTCTGCCAGCTCCTACTCTTCGAGTCCCTTCATGGACTCGGCGAGTAGGTCACTAAACACGCGTATCAAACCCGTTGCTACTCGACGAGTAGGGCAACCAACTCGTCGAGTAGGCCTTGAAACCAATTAAATTCATATTTAAACAATACATGGCAATCGGGGCGTTACATTGGATCTGAAGTTTAGGACCTTAGATCCCGCTGGAAAGGACTAAACACAAAAGGACTGAAGGAACTCGTTGTGTCCATTAGTCTACTCGACGAGTCGGGGTAGGGTTTACTCGTTTTCGGGTTTCTGAATGAGTGCAGTGAAGGATTAGAGTGTTGGACTGAATGAACTTTTGGTTTTCTGGATATTGGATGAACTCGACGAGTCACTTAGGTAACTCGGCGAGTTGACTCGGGATTCAGTGGAATGGACTCGGGTGGAACTCGACGAGTTGTTGGATGCACTCGACAAGTTGAGGTCAACATGGACTGTTGACCTTGACTATTGACCTTGACTTTGACTAAGGTTGACCAGGGTTGACTTTGAGGGTATTTATAGTATTTCAGGATTGTGACAAGTTAATCACATGTTGATTATAGGCAGTTGAGTTGGAGCGGTGCGTGGGATATATCTGATCTTAGCTTGTTAGTTCAGCATTCGAGAGGTGAGTCTCCTCACCATACCAATGGGTCTAAGGCACCAAGGCCGACCCATTTTGTGATATGTGGTACACTAGCTGTAGTAGAGATATGTGGTATGATAGTTAGCTATATGCTAAGTGATATGCTAGTGATTATATGATACTTGCAGGGAAGATCATGGGGGAGCCCATGACACTTGGATAAGACCATGTGGGGGAGCCTACGGCTTGATAGTTAAAGACCATGGGGGAGCCCATGGCAGTCGAATGAAAGACCATGTGGGGGAGCCCATGGCTTGTCGGTTAAAGACCATGAGGGGAGCCCATAACACTTTGGTATAAGACCGTGTAGGGGAGCCCATGGCATCCTTATATGTTTGTATGCATGGATTATGTGATATATGTAGATTTTATAGCTAATATGATATGTGTTATGTGGATTGTGTGTGGGGTATGCTCTGGAGAACTCACTAAGCATTAGCTTATAGTTTGTGGAATTGTTTCAGGTACATCCGAGCCTAAGGGCAAGGGCAAGGCTTGATGGCGCGGCGTGCACTCTCTCTCAGGCGTTTTATGGGACGCTCTGATGTTTTGAAATAAAATTGTAATTGTTATGAATTTTGAAAACAATTGTATTTGGGATTTCATGGTTTGTGGAAAGTATTTTGGGTAATTAAAAAATGGAAAAATTTCTTTTGAAAATTGGGTCGTTACATATATTAATCATATAATATATTAACAAATCATTTTATCTTTCTCTTAATATCAATCCTAGTTATTTTCTAGGTTATGAGCGCAACCCAAAATGACTTTACTTTTTATTCACTAAGATTATATCCATTTAGTTAAGACCTTAGACACTTAATCCAACATTTCTCGGGGTCGGTTCTCTAGTTTCTTTGAATTGGGCTCTCCTTGTCAAATGGATATGGAGGTATAAAGTGGATCCAAATTCCTTATGGCGATGGGTCATTTGTGGGACCCATAATCATTCTAGAAAGCTAGTTTTGCCTTTGGTTAAAAAATCCCTCTCAAGTGTTTGGTACACAAATTGTAAATGTTCTCCCTAATCTAGCAAAAAACTGGAATCAAGTTTTTCTCCTTGTTTGAAACTCTTATTAGATATGGTACCAGTACCTTGTTTTGGCTTGGGGATTAGACTGGAAATAGTGATTTTGCTTCAAGGTTTCTGCATGTTTTAGATTTAGACAAGAAAAAGTCTTGTTTTATTGCTGAAAGGATTTGTCCAGTTAACGAAGGTTAGGCTTGGAAAAGGGCTCCTAATAACCTTTTAAAGACTTTAGAGTTGAACTCTTTAAACGGATTGGACTCCTGGAGGTCTAATCTTTCTTCCGATGGCAAATATTATATGCATGATCTCAGAGCCTGAATTGATTCCTATGTGACAACTCCGGTGATCAATCCTATGATTTGGTTTAAATTGGTAGCTCTAAAGATCATTGGTTTTGTGTGGCGTTCTTGCATGGACCGAATCTCCACCACGAATGCTCTTTCTCGAAGGGGGATCACAATCTCTTCCTCTTCCTGCCATTGGTGCACAGGGGGAGTAGATGAAGCAGATCACATTCTTGTTGGATGTACATTTGTGTGCGACACTCTATGATGGATTTTCAAGTGGTGCAACATTCCATTTCAACGGTTCTCGTCGGTTAGTGAATTTGTCAATTTTGCTGCACATTGGGGAACTTGCCCAAAAAACGTAAGATTTTGGTAGCCATCGTGTATGACTATCTTTGGTGCATTTGGAGGGCTATAAATGACATTATTTTAGCAGGTTTGTGTCTTTCCCTCAAAAGAGGCGGATAACGTGCTTTCAATAGTTTTTAGTTGGGTTAAGCATAAAGGGAATTTTGGGACTTATAATTAGGTTCATTGGTATTCTTCTCCCTTTAATATTGTGTAATTTTGTTTGTTTACCTTTTTGTGCCCTGTTTTGTTGTTTTATAGGTAATAGTTTTTAATAAATTATGTTGTTTCCAAAGAAAAAAAAAAGTTAAAAACATGTACCGACAAATAGTTTTTGTTTAATCAAAACGTTTTATCAAAACCCAAAAACTTGAAACTCTAAAATATTTCTTACAAAACATGACCTTTGTGTGGTGAAGTTCTTCTTGGGAAACCTATGGGTTCGAGTGTGCCCTCGGGATGACCTCTCGGGATGTCTATATGGAGGGGTGGCTTCCGTTGCAGCATCCGCCGTTTCCAAAAAACCAAACACCACCTTAAGGTTGTAAAAAAATATAAATTGACATATTTTATAAAGAAATAAAAATCCAACAATCTCACGTTCTTTCATGTAACATGATGACCTGTTACTTCCACTCAGAGGCAGCCTGGATCTTCTATCATCCTCTGTCACTTTCATCTCATTAATTATTATAAACTGGTTCATATTATATTATTTTTCACTATATAAATTATTTGTTTATCTACAAATATAAATGTAATAATCATTCTCTTTGTGATAAGGATTGTTTATTGAAATTTAAGAACAAAAAACGTAGATCTGATCCAAATAAACAATTTTTTTGTGTAAATTGTATTAAATGATTATTTTTTTGGAAACCGCGATTTATTCTTTTAAATAAACAATCGAAAAATGTCAATGTTGACATCATAGAAATAAAAAACGATTTGTAAATCAAATATTAAATACTTATTTGTTTTAATTTATTACTCAACTTAATTAACCCATAAATGTTACGTCAACATCAGGGCAGACGTAAGAGGTTTAGGTGGTAATTAACCGGTGTTATCTCTCAAAATTTTCGGTAAAATATAAATTATTTGGAACGTTTTTCATTTTAATGTAAATTTTTCGTAATGCTACATTTATAATCATTGATATGTTACACCGACTAACTTTACAATTACCTTCGCATATCAAAGCTTTTACATTTTTTCAAAATTGTTATTATAATTGTTCTCTCTCTCTCTCTCTCTCTCTCTCTCTATATATATATATATATATATATATATATATATATATATATATATATATATAGTCATGAGAGAAGATCTCACTTGTTTACAAGGCTTGGTCTCCACTAAAACGATGGAGAAGAAAGCTTCAAGTTCTTCCATGGCAGTGTCTGCGATCTGGTGCTTCGTTGCTTATGTGACAATGGCTACAATGTCTTGCTCAGCTACATCGAAGCCTTCATTTGATGATAATTTCAGCATCATGTGGTCTGAGAATCATTTCAAAACTTCTGAAGATGGTCAGACCTGGTTTCTCTCCCTGGATAATGACACAGGTAATCATCCCACCCAATGAGTCAACTCGGTCATTTCTGTAGCAGATCAGATGGACAAATAAGTATTAGTTCAAATCTTTAAGAAATACTTAATATCTAATTAGAAATGAAGTTGTAATTACATATTTACACTTTCTTATGATGGATTTGTTGTATAAAATGAAAATACAATATAGTTATTCTTCACATATAGGAGTAATTCAAATTGGGTAATGATGATGTCATGTAAAAGCGACTGAACCTGATAATCATAGAACTTTTCTTTCCAAGAGATCTAAAGTTGAATTGCATATCTGACCTTCATTGTTGTTGAGTTGACGACAATTTGATATAGCTTGAATTGTATCATTGTGCCCTTCTTTTTTCCTCCTATAATAACATTCTATCTTGAAAAGTTCTTTCCAAGTATTAATGTTACTCAAATACAATGTGATTTTCAGTACTAATTATATTGAGTATTCAACATACCATGTCTTAATTAAAAAAGTTGAAAAATACAATATTATAATTAAGTATTTTTTTTAAAACTACAATGTTTGAAAATAACTGTTGTTGTAAAAAAGAAAAAAGAAATGGATATATAATAGTATATGAATAAATAAAACTAAAAGTACTGGTTAATAGTTTTGAACACTTTTGTTTATTAAAATCTTCTTTTTATATTTTTTTATATAAAGTGATTGAAGACAATTTATATCATAATTCTAAGATCATGTTGTCTTAGGACAATCCATATCAAATTATAATATCACCAAATAATCTTGATAACCCAAACCTAATTAAGTTCACAAGATCATATCATCAATGACCATAAAAGTCAACTTTTTTACTTCAAGTATGTGTTAAAATCAAACTCCATGCTAAAAAAAAAAAGTCAACTTTTGTTTTTTGAAATCTCTAATCCACATGACACTTTTTATTTGTTCAAATTTTAACATTGGTTTAATGAATTTGTACGAACAGGATGTGGGTTCCAAACAAAAGAGAAATATCGATTCGGTTGGTTTAGTATGAAGCTGAAGTTGGTCGGAGGTGATTCTGCTGGAGTTGTCACAGCTTACTATGTGAGTGTTTTTTTCCATCAAATTATTAATCTTTTGAGATCAAAATCAGTTATTAATGTATAGTTTTAATAACAAAGATTTTCCAAACAAGAAAAGAAGTCCAAAAAGACTTTTAACATTTGTTGCTAGTATTTGAAAATTAATATTTATATTTCGTTGCATAAGAAACTTTGAGTTAGATTATCACAAATCTTAAAACATATCGGTTAGATTTGTCTTTTTTTTTTTTTTTTTAACTATTAATATATGTATATTAAAATAAGTTATTACTTTAATAATATGTAAATATTTATTTAAATAGATGTGTACAGAGGATGGTGCGGGGCCCACAAGAGATGAGCTGGACTTTGAGTTTTTAGGGAACCGAACCGGTGAACCATACCTGATCCAGACCAATGTTTACAAAAATGGAACCGGAAACCGGGAGATGAGGCACAAGCTTTGGTTTGATCCGACTCTTGATTACCACACTTATTCCATTTTATGGAATTCTCACCAAATCATGTAACCCTTCTTTCCATTTTAAACCACATAGAGTAAATTACGAAAATCGTCCCTATGGTTTGGTCAAAATTGTACGTTTGGTTCTTAACATTTTTTTTGCACTCGGATCGTCCTTGTGGTTTGATTTTCTTGTGTTTTTTTTGTCCCTTACATACATAAAGTTAGGGACCAAACGTGCAATTTTGACCAAACTATAGGAACGAAAAACACAACAAAATTGAACCACAGGGACGATGCGAGTGCAAAAAAATGGTTAGGGACGATGCATGCAATTTTGACCAAATCATATGGACGATTTCAGTAATTTACTCAATCACATATTACAATCAAATATAACTAAACCCAATTCAGACTACTTTTTAGTTATATATCATTTTTGTTATGTCTAATTATATATGATTTTGAACAGATTTTTTGTGGATAGAGTTCCAGTAAGAGTATACAAAAACGCCGACTACGAGAACAACTTCTTTCCAAATCAGAAACCGATGTACTTGTTTTCAAGCATATGGAATGCCGATGATTGGGCAACCCGAGGGGGTCTTGAGAAAACAGACTGGAAAAAGGCACCTTTTGTTTCTTCTTATAGAGATTTTACAGTCGATGGTTGTCAATGGAAAGACCCTTATCCTGATTGTGTTTCATCTACTACACAACATTGGTGGGACCAATACGAAGCATGGCATCTTACAAAAGACCAGAAATTGGATTTTGCTTGGGTTCAAAGGAATTTAGTGATATATGATTATTGCAAAGATACCGATAGGTTTCCTACATTGCCTGAGGAATGTTCATTGAGTCCTTGGGATTAGGGTTCGGATCTGGTCAACCAAATCAATATGGTTTGTTCAATCCAAGTCTCTTTATATATCGGTTTCTTTTTGGCATTAGATGATTCCATTTTTTACGTTTATAAAATGTAATATTTTGTTCCATTTTTGTTGTTCCATTCCTTAATATAAATATTTTTTTTTTGTTAAAACTTTCAAATATTATACGTCGGGGAGATAATCTATTTAAATTATTTTAAAATGGAAAATCTGTTGATTTGTTTTATCATTCGTCGTATAGGTAAAAACTAAAAATATAATTATTCTTTCCACACAAACTAATCAGCTATTCTGCAATGGGTTATGCTACTGTAAAATTATTTTATGTTACGAAATTACGGAAAATTTGAAGCTTCTGAAATTAGGGAAAATTAAAAATAAAATAATCATTTTTAGTTAAAACAAAATCTACTTACACTTAACTGATCAAGGAAAAAGGGTCATAAATGTTATAATCTTTTAGGGTTGTGTTCGACAGGTTAACTAAGATTAATATATAAAGATATATTTGAAAAACTTGTTAAGAAAAATACTTATGAGCTTATCAATTAGCTATCTTGAATAGTTTTTTTTCAATAGTTAGCTTGTAGCCTACATTAATGGTCTGACTAAATACTTGTATATTGCAATAAGTGGGCTTATGAGCACCAAAATGATCTAAAAACTGAGTTCGATGACAGAGATTAGACTTCAAAAACACCAATAAATTATTACTAACCACCATGGAAATCATGAGATCACAATGTTTATAACTCTTGGAAACAAACATAAATATTAAAACACGACAAATAAAATGGAGCCAATATGGAAAGGGAAAACAAAGGGAAGAAAAGTTGCAACAATTACAAAAACAATTAAATCACGACCACCAGCGCCATTTAAAAACCATGAATCTTTATACGCTCTTTCTTCACTATGCCAGCCTGTTTTCACAAAAACAGAAACCCGAAAATAAATAATATGAGAGAAACAACCCGAAAATGAAAATTCATATAAAAAAAATTAATAATTAAAAAAAAATCATTACTTGAACAAGGAATGTCGAGACGTTTTTCCTCTGATCACCTTGAAGTTGGATCACCTACATTATGTTACAATACACCTTCGTTAATAAACACAGAACAAGACATGACATGACAGAATAAAACAGATTCGACCGTTAAAATGATTACCTGACCAAGCTCAGGGTCTTGAACAACCGTACCATTACAGCAGAAGTCCTTTTTGAGGTCTTTGAGAATCTTATTGTAACTGAACTCTTTTTTCAAACCTTGAACAGTTGTCAGACTTTTTCTACCATTTCGTTGTTGTATACGTATATGAACGTATTCTTTTGAACCAGCACCTGAGTCCTCAGCATTTGCCTCAGCGAATGGATCTGTCCCCAATCCCAGTTCATATCAAAATATGTATATATCAAACATAACAACATAATCTAATTTTATTATAGATGGAAAAAAAAAGTAATTTTAGACATAAAAAAACAGAACAATAAATGCCAAATGAAAACTTATAAAATGTTATGCCTTTGGATGAAAATAATGGAATGAGTCATTAGATTAGATTCCATGATTATGTTTTGAATTATAAGTTTTTGTTTAAAATAAAAACCAAAAGCTCCCAAGTTTCTTTTTCCAAAGTTTTTTGCTTTAGAGACCAATAGCTCAACAGGCCCATAGTCATAAAACAAATAGCTTTTTCCATTCCAATGAGACGAACAATTCGATTCCTTCCCTAATTCGATCATACTACACAAAGTGCTAATGTCTGATGCAACAGTAAATTGGAAGAATTGCTAAAAGTTTAAGATTAGAAAGATGAGCGACAAACATACCGAAGGCAGTTGGAATCTGGACGTCGATGTCAGACATGAAACTTGAGTACTAGGATTGGAAGCAACGAACAAACCAAGCTAAAATATTCTTCTTCGTCAATCGTCAGTCAGAAAAGTGCAAACTGTAATGGAAGTTACAATATCATCAGCTTCTTGTTGCTATAAGAAAAACTAATCGCATACAAATCCATTAACAAAGAAAAAAAGGAAAACGACCCAATAAAATAAGAAAATCTGAAAACAATAATCAAAGAATCACCATAACTGATCAATTTGATTCGCTGTAATAAATGGCATATATAGTCAACCTAATTTATCGTATTACAACATTAATTGCACATAGATATAAACATACCCTCAATCGGTATTCGATTCGATCGTGTTAAAAAAAATAAGGTAAACGATTTCATCACCAAATTGTCGAATTGAAAAAACTAAGGAGAAACAAAGATTACGCAGATCGAAAACGAATGCAATGAGATCAAAGAAAAAGAAAGATCACCTGATTGGAATGATAATCAAATCTAGAGCCAGATGGATGTGTATTTGGAGATAAGGGTGTGAGACAGATAGTTGAGACTTGAGAGTTGAGAAGCGTTATATATACGCCAAACTTTCTTAATAGCTTACGCCAAAGGCTATTATGGTATAGCCCACTTCACAGTTGTTACCCACTTTGTCGCAGCTAAAAAATTGATGTATTTTAGATTCTTAGCAACGATTTTAAGTTTAAACCATATATTCAATAAATATCGTTATAAAATCATTTTTTTCTAACTTTAACAAAAAAAAAAAAAATCATAAATACAGCAAAAATACGAACGCGAATTAGTGGGAAATGTGTGACATACAGCAAACCGATAAAAGTTATTCGTAAGCGAATGATATTTGCTCTTTGGGATGACAATTTTCAGTAGATTCTCGATCCTTATATGATTGGACTCGATAAAGATTTGCGAGCCCCACTTTTTCTTTACAGACATTAATGTTTTGTGTGTTACATGTGTATCGTTCGATCATATATACATTTACTCATAAAAGTTTATCGTTAAATAGTTGCGAGGGACCTATTTCCGTCTATATAAGGGTTTGGAGTGTTATCATTTAGGTGTATGTCTACTACTTACATGTGATGTTTGGCTTCTTTGAAATCGTTGATCAGTCACATTGATTGTGTTTCCATACAACAACGCATGAGTATGTCGTTCCTTAATCGATATCAACTGATGGTCATCTACCTACACATGTCTCAATTACTCTCCCGGTTAAGATGAATAACTTAGAAAAAATAAAACATGCAGCTTAGACATTCTTTTTAATCAATTTGATAATTCATTTTAAATAACTTTTACATCGAGGTCTCAGACAAACTGACAACAAGTTGTGTCACTAAACATTTCTAGATGGCAAAACTAATTCTTTTAAATGTTATATCCATAGATCTAGGGTTATAACATTATTATCTATAACGTCCTAATTAAAAAAATAGTTTAGAACAAATAATATAGATAAACAATTAATAAAAAGCAAATAACTTTGAAAAGAATAGCTTTCAATGTTAATTATAACAAAATCATTTGTGGAAGATAGCTTTCTTGATATCAAAAACTTTAAAAAAACATTTTGTTAAAATTTTCAAAACATGTTATTAGAGTTACTAAGACCGTTTCATAAGGTTATAACTTTATTACATGTTCAGAATATCATAAAAGTAATAATACTAAAAATCCATGAAAATATGAAATGTCGGTTGCAGTCACGTTAGTCTTTCATTTGTCTACCCCAGAGGGTCCTTAAAATGCTTAATAAAGAAAGAGTAAGCGAAAACGCTTAGTGAGCATAGACAATAGTCACCCATATTAATTATTTACCTCGACATAACACATAACTTAGCACATATCACATATCACATATCACCATATCTCTTAAACATATATTGTTGGTAGCAACTCTACACTACCACGCTAATTCCCTTAAAGGGCTTGTCTCAGACACTGCAAACACTGATAACTGGTTACTTACTCCGAAGGGCTAGTCATTACCAACTAGCTCAACCACTTCCCCTAAAGGGCTTGTCATGGTCACCAAAATTGTCCCATCCCCTCCTTCGGGAACAATTACACATACACAAGCAAAGTTGTGACATCTCGGAATTTAGGTCAAAGGCTGTGAACGGTCAATTCACAGTAAATCTATTTGTAATTTTTTAACATCCCGATTCCTAGGTATGAGAATTTTTATTTAAGATGCAATTTTGCCTTGGAACTCGTCGAGTTGATGGCCTTAACTCGACGTGTTGAAAGATTTTGGGCCGCAGATCTTTTTGGACCAACTCGACGAGTTGGAGAGGAAAATTCGACGAGTTGGCGGCTGAATATGAAACCCTAATTTTTAAGGTGTTGTACCCTACTTAAAGGCCTTAAGTCCCATTGTTGGCCACCCTAATCGCCTCCTCTGTCCAGAAACCCTAGAATTCGTGCATCTTACCCCAAATTAAGTGTGTGAGCTTATAAGTTGCTTCTTTTGGTCTCATTTTTGAAAGAGCTTGAAGTTAGTGGTGCCTATCTTGAAGGGGGAAGTTATAGATTCGGAATCTCCTTGAGTTTAGCTACTCTTTTGAGTTTAGCTACTCTTTTGAGGTAAAAAGCCGAAGCAGTTCAAAGCCACTGATTCTAGGTCTGGAGGTCAGCGAGGCCGCGCTTGTGGGAAGTGCGGAAAAGTTCACGTCGGAGCATGTCGATCTACTAGTGGGTGTCACAAATATGGCAAGAAGGGGCATTATGCGAGGGACTGTCGCCAGTCCGCCCCGTTTCATAGTATGAGGATTTGTTATCATTGTGATCAGGTTGGCCATGTGAAGGTCAACTGTCCGTTTGCTCACCGCCAATCCAGCGCAGGCTCCCGCGCCAGCTACATTGAGGATCACTGGCGGGAGTCAGGGCAGGTCGGAGCCCCCGAGGGCTCGAGGTCGCGCTTTCCAGCTCACTGTCTAGGAGGCCAAGACAGCACCAGATGTTGTGACTAGTATGTTTCTATCTCTTATCTTATTGATTGTGTTTGTTTTATGCTCATATGTTTGTATCTCTATTAGGTACGTTCCTAGTGAACTCACTGTCTGCTTTAGAGTTATTTGACTCGGGTGCGAGTCGGTCTTTTGTTTCTCGATCCTTCAGTAGGGAGTTTGTTTTTCCTATAGGGGAGTTGGAGTGTCCGTTGCGAGTTTCTATCGCCAACGAACACGGGGTTTCTGCTTCTTTGGTTTATCAGGGTTGCGTTCTAGAGATCTTCGGGGTATCCTTTCCCGATTGATTTGATTCTGATTCATATGGGGGGTGTATGCGTGATTGTGGCTATGGACTGGCTGAGTCGTTTCGGTGCCATGATCGACTTCAAGGGTCAGCGTGTGGTGGTTCGAACCCCAAGTGGCGGAGAACTGGTTATTTATGGAGAGGGCACCAGGCTGGGTTCAGGGTTTTGTTTGGAAGTCAGGGTTTGGCAGTATATTCAGCACGGGTGTGCAGGTTATTTAGATTATGTGGTGGATACGCAGGTTGGGGATCAGGTGTCAGTTGTCGATGTTTCGGTTGTCAGGGAGTTCGCCGATGTATTCCCGGAGGAGTTACCCAGTGTGCCTCCTGAGAGGCAGGTCGAGTTCAGGATCGACCTTGTGCCAGGTGTAGCCCCTATTGTCAAGGGCCGTACCGATTAGCACCGCCTGAGATGCAGGAGCTGTCATATCAGCTGCAGGAGCTGCTAGGCAAGCAGTTCATCCGTCCGAGCAGTTCTCTGTGGGGAGCGCCGATTCTTTTTTTCAAAAAGAATGATGGTTCATACCGGATGTGCATCGATTATAGAGAGTTGAACAAGTTAACAGGGAAAAACCATTATCCCCTTCCGCGGATTGATGATCTCTTTGATCAGTTGTAGGGAGCATCTTGGTTCTACAAGATAGATTTGAGGTCTGGGTACCATCAGGTCAGGGTGAGGGAGGAGGACGTGGAGAAGACCGTGTTCCAGACTCGTTATGGGCATTACGAGTTCGTGGTGATGCCGTTTGGGCTCACCAATGCGCCGACAGTATTTATGGATTTGATGTATCGAGTATGCAGGCCGATGCTCGATTGCTCAGTTATTGTATTCATTGATGATATCTTGGTGTATTGCAAGACCAGAGAGCGTCATGAGGAGCATCTTCGCGAGCTTCTAGGGGTTTTGAGGCGAGAACGACTTTATGATAAGTTCTCGAAGTGCGAGTTTTGGTTGTGAGAGGTTCAGTTCCTTGGACACCTCGTTAACTAGGCTGGGATTTTGGTCGATCCGGCCAAAATCGAGGCGGTGATGCATTGGGAGGTTCCGAAGTATCCCTCGGATATCAGTAGTTTTCTGGGTTTGGCAAGGTACTATCAGAGATTTATTCAGGATTTCTTCAAGATTGCAGTACCCCTCACTCGTCTGACGAGGAAGGGGGTGGATTTCCGGTGGGGCATTGAGAAAATGTCAACATTTGAGACCATTCGGCAGAGAGTTTGCGAAGCCCTGGTCTTGACCCTTCCAGAGGGAATTGAGGATTTTGTGGTTTTTTGTGATGCATCCATCACCGACTTGGGAGCAGTCCTTATGCAGAGAGGATGAGTGATAGCTTATGCTTCGCGGCAGCTGAAGCCACATGAAACGATATATCCCACACATGATCTTGAGTTGGGAGCGGTGGTCTTCGCTCTCAAGATTCGGAGGCATTACCTTTATGGGGTTCGCTGTACTATCTACACGGATCACAAGAGTTTGAGGCATATTATGGATCAGCTGAACCTGAACATGAGGCAGTACAGGTGGCTGGACGTAGTCAAGGATTATGCCTGCGAGATCCTTTACCATCCAGGTAAAGTGAACGTGGTGGAAGATGCCCTGAGCCGCAAGTCGGCTGGATCTTGTGTTGAGGTGGCATGTATGAGGATATCTGTGGATTCTCCACTTGTAGGTTTGATTAGGGAGGCTTAGGCTGAGGGTGTTCGAGAGGAGAATTGGAAGATTGAGAGGATCAGTGGTGAGATCACCAGATTTGTGCCGGACAGTCATAGTTTGTTGACCCGTTGCGGTCAGGTGTGGTTTCCTGTGTCTGGTGGGGTCAGATAGATTGTGTTGGAGGAGGCTCATAAGCCTCGTTTTTCTATCCATCCCGGGGCGACCAAGATGTATCGTGATCTGAGGTTGAGTTATTGGTGTCGTGCATGAAGAGGGAGATCGTCTGGTACGTTGAAAGGTGCTTGACATGCAGGATGGTCAAGGCCGACGAGTATGCGCACACTGTCCTTTAAGGACTTCCGAGGGAGCGGTGCGCCGGATTTCCATGGGGTGAAAGACCCCATTGCTGTTTGGAGATGGATCGCAGACATCGAGTCTGCGCAGCTGACCAGCTTCTGCCCCGAGGGGTCTAAGGTGAGATATGCGGCAGGGTGTTTGAGAGACAGAGCTAGAGATTGGTGGGAGTCTGTTGGTAACTCATTGGGAGCCTCGGCTGTTGAGGCTATGACCTGGTCAGACTTTGTGACCAGATTCAAGGCGGAGTTTGCGCCAGCTGTGGATCTTTAGCAGCTGGCCAGAGATTTCTTGGACATGAGACAGACTACGGAGACTGTGGCGGAGATCACCGCCAAGTTCCGGGAGAGGGCATTGTTGGTGCCCCAGTATGCGGGTGATGAGGACATGAGGAGGACCCGCTACCATGATATGTTACGAGCTGACATCCGGGAGCATGTCTGTTTCTCAGCTTTCCCTACCCTGGATTCCATGATTGCCAGGGCTAGGGAGAGGGAGATTGATCTGGAGCACATCTGGAAAAGGAAGGCAGCGGAGGGGCTAACGACGGGGGCTTCGGGGAAGAAGCCCAAGGGATCCGATGGTAGGCCGAAAGGCCAGTCTGGGCGGGACCGTTGTGGGAAATGTGGTAGGTCACACGAGGGAGCTTGCCACACTGGGCCGGGTT